ATACTGTCTGAAGTGAACCTGTTCTCTTTGTAGGAGCATTCCAGGCCTTTGATCAAGGTGGAGATGGCACCATCAGACTTAATGTACTGGAGGTGAGTGGACACCAATCCATCATCTTAAGACTATGTAATGTTTAGCATCAGGTCCACGTCATTAGTTTCAAACATCAAAAGCCTTCCATTTAAATCTGTAGGCTGATCACAAAATGCTAAACTTCTATTTCAATTTCTCCAGTGGCTTCAGCTAACCATGTACGCATAGACCAACTATGGATCCAGGTGAGCCCTGACTCGGCAAGGACCAGAACTAGCAGCTCTTACCTCAACACTCAATGTGCCAGACTACCGTTACCTCTTTCTCTGTACCTCAGCCCACACTGAACACCAGTTCTAGAAACTTAACACATGATTAATCCTCCTCTTCATTTTAGTTTTAAATAGGATGGTAAGAAGAGTGAAATGAGTATTAGTGTTACAGACTGACGTTTTTGGGGGGCGTTGTGCCCAAGCAACTTTAGAGGCATGTCGCACGTTGCTGGTTTTCTGTTGTAATTCATTCCTCAGAGTAGCATTTCACATGACCTTCATTCAGTTTGTCTACACTGGTGTTACAGGCAGCATTTCTCTTTTACCTCAACTAGCCTCAAAAGATGCTAATGTTTCATGGCCTTGAGATTTCCTTTTGCCATATGCTGATGGACCTAATATATAATTGATTATCTAATATTATATAGAGCTATAACAATAAAAAGAAATAGATTCGGATTTAACTCTTGACAATATGCACACTTCTTATTACATTGTAAACGTGATGCCTTACAATGATGAGGAAAAACTACTTGAAAGCCAGTCTGACCATTCCCACTGAAACACAATCCAGATTTGTTTCCGATTTCACACCACATATGGATGTGGTTTCGACCAGGTTTGTAAATCTATCAGAAGTCAGAATTTTGTCTGAACAAAATGTCTCAGGGACACTTGGAAACTCTTATCATACTACCACTCTTTCCGATTCAGATTTCTTAAAAATATCTTTCCATCTTCACCCAGATATGCACTACATACATCCCAGCCTCCCATTTGATTTGGTAATAGCAAGAATCCATAAAAAAAAA